GGAGGGGGATTATGGTGTGGGGTTATTTTTGAAGGGATGGGCTTGGCCCCTTAGTTCCAGTGAAGGGAACTCTTAAGGCATCAGCATACCAAGACATTTTGGACAATTTCATGCTCCCAACTTTGTGGGAACAGTTTGGGGATGGCCCCTTCCTGTTCTGACATGACTGCGCACCAGTGCCCAAAGCAAAGTCCGTAAAGACATGGATGAGCGAGTTTGGGAGGAGGAACTTGACTGGCCTGCACAGAGTCTTGACCTCAGCACGATAGAACACCTTTGGGATGAATTAGAGCGGAGACTGCGAGCCATGCCTTCTCGTCCAACATCAGTACCTGACCTCACAAATGCGCTTCTGGAATAATGGTCAAACATTCCCATAGACACACTCCTAAACCTTGTGGACAGCCTTCCCAGAAGAGTTGAAGCTGTTATAGCTGCAAAGGGTGGGCCAACTCAATATTGAACCCTACGTACTAAGAATGGGATGCCATTAAACTTCATGTGCATGTAAAGGCAGGCGTCCCAATACTTTTGGCAATATAGTGTCCATACATATGGATCCCCTCCTGATCAGCCTGTTTCAAAGGGGCTTTAGTGCTTTGCCATAATTGCTGTAGTGTGTGGGAAAATGATTTAGGTTTTTTCTGCAACACAAGGTGACCCAGATTATTATTAATGTTATTATTATTGGTATTTATAAAGCGCATACTACACATTCATCGGTCCCTGCCCTCAAGGAGCTTACAATCTAAGGTCCCTATCTTGTATGCCCACGGGGCTCATTTAGACAGCCAATTACATTTCCAGCATGTCTTTGGAGTCTATATTTTTCCTGTATAACAACCTATTCTACCACACTAGCTATGATATGAACCTAGTGTTTTATCTCAATATTTTTGTTATAAACATTAGTACCTATTCATAAAAAAACGAATAAAAAATCCATAGTTGATGCTAACAGTGGCCAATTAAAGTCCTTTTTTTAATTTTCCCATAAGAGGAAACCATGTGGGCCAACAAATACAATGTTGTTCCTGTTTGTTTTTCTCCTTTTTTTTGTCATTTAGAGAAGGCCAGATGCTCTTGCTAATAGCCTTATTTATTTATCTTGGATGCAGTTGTCTGGAATAAGCCCTTGGACTGTACAAAACATCAGTGGAATTACTTTTTTCCTTTTCATCACGAAGTAGCAAGATCTGATCAGAGCTGAAATGTAACGGAAGCATTTAAATTTGCACAATACAAATTCAAGTCCCGATATCTACCCTCCATATGTCTCCTTTAAAATGTCTCTTTCACAAGTCAGTGATGAACTCGACTTGTATTAAAATAGATTTTCCAATTCTCAAGGTAGAGTATACTGATGCAATGTTAGCAAGGTACAGTATCTGTTACGAGGAGAGGCAGTGTTTTTAAGTATGTATTATAGTTAATTATGGGTGTTCTTTGTTTCCTAGAATTTTTTACTTGGGTCTGTTATTTTCTCATTTGCCTTAATTATGGTGGTTAAAAACAACAGGGTATTTAGGTCATGCAGTGCTGTTGCTAATGTTGGCCTTATAGTTAAATATTTCTTGCAAAATATTTGACGTGCATGCATATGCCACCCGATGCTCACCTCCAGACCTGTGCTGGCGTATCTGAATGTCAACCTGTGTCGACTCTTACCTGTTTAGTCTTAGTAAAGCTAAACTACCGGTAGCTCAAGTGTCAAAAGCCTGTTTTCAGAGTCTTCTTCAATATCTAATGTTTTTTTAGCTGTTTGAAGTGTGACCACTGGGTTCCTTAAAGTTTCCTCAGATACACAATTGTGCTTTAAATACTGGAACTACTTCCTATTTCTAATATGGCAGTTTACACGTATGCCATTCCAACTTCCCACTTTGATATTTGTATAGTTTCATTCGGCCTTTCTGAGATTCCACATTTTTAGTTATTTTAAAACCTGGTTTTATCAGTTAGCTTGAAAAGGTATAGGAGGGGGGAAAACGTACAAGTAGTTGTAATAAATCATCAATCACTAATAAAATGTAAAAGAAAGGCTGAGACCATAAATTCCGACCTTCTGCTGTCACCTTATTTTATATATCTGGATGCAAATTTTCCAATAAACGGTGCAATATTATGCAAACAGTCGCTTTTAATGAGTCTGAGGTGACACTAAGCTGTCATTTCAGACACCTGCGTGCTGTCCCCAGGGCAGGTGGGGTGGAAAGTAGTTCCAGCGTTACCACAGCAGCAGTTGTGACATATGAGCAGCAAGAATACAATGATACATACATCACAATCTATTATACATGAGGCAGTGATGCATCATCCTGGAAATGAACAAAATGCAAATGTCGAGATTATAACGAACACAACATTTGCTATAGAAGACAGTGGACATACCTTTTATTAGAAAAGAATACCTCTCTCAACAACACAGATTTGTTTTAGCTCTGGGAAGAAGAAGCCATTTAACCCAAGTGTAACTAGTTAACCATTGTACCATAAAAGTTCAAAGAGCGGGGTGTTAAAGTGACACTAAACTCAAGTTAAATCTTAAAAATGCATTCAAGTACCTTAGCCAGTAACACAAATGTAGCTTTATTCTTTAAACACTATAAAAAAAGAAAACATATTATCAAAGGTAACTTCTAAGGTGCACAACAGGACATATATCTGTATTCCAGGTTTACTACATAGATTAATACAATAATAAACATACCAAAAAAAGGAAAAGAAAATCAATATTACATTTTTGCAGCGGCCGGCCTCAGCGAGAACAAGTTGCCCTCTTCTTCTTTTCATCTATTGTTCTCAGGGTATCATTGGAAATCATCCTCTCAGTACTGTATACCACGGTGTCAAAATAAAAGATTGCATAAGCTTATGATTTGTAATAATCGGCTGAAGATCAATGAAGGATCCTCATTTCAAAAAACCTTTGGGCCTGCGTATCCTTACTAGGCATTGTCTCAGTCCAATCACTTTAAATTACAAACATCAACTTTCTCAAGAAAAAGGTTAGAGAGGGTGGTTCAGAATGTATCCATTGATGCAAAATTGTTTTCTTTCCCACCGATGATATAATAGACAATAACTTTCTACATCCAGTCGTAATTTTCACTGCATGCAAATCTAAGATGTTACATAATCGCACATCTGCATAAAAGTGAATATTTCACATTTCATAAATGGAAAGTTCCCTGAAACAGCTGCAAAAGTTAACACTTTATGATCAGTGGTTGAAATAAAAGACTTAACTGTTGAGAGTCCCTGCGTTGCCCATTACGTAAAAAGCTGATTTCTAGACGCATGGAGGAAATCTAAATGTTTCCAGAAAGGAAGGCACAAAGAGGAATGGCTATTTAACTGATGTCTGTCTCTGAACAGTCCAACATTGAACAGTCCAACCAAAATATAAAAGAGGGTTTGAGATGACTTCCTCAGGCAGATATTGTCTATGCATATGAAGTATGTATACAAGATTAAGATCAGGTACTAGATTCTGGTGCAGGTCGGAGTCTGTATAACTACTCGTACCATGGATCCAACAATTTCGGGAAGAGTCTTATTAATCAAATTTACCCTCCCCATATACAGAATGTCAAAGTAAGGTGGGACCACTTATCTAATAATTCCAGTAAAGCTCTCAACATTTTTTTAATCTTATTTGTGTATTACTCATTTGTAGATCATCAAAATCATCTCTGAATTGGTGCTGACACTGCCCTGCCCTGCCTTCTGGAGAGTGGCTACTTTTGTTCCCCATGCTCCCTGTGTGTGTTGTAAAGTAGCCTCCACTCCCATGATGAACTATAACTTCAATACAAATAAGTAAACTAAACATGAGATTGTAGTCCATCACAGGCGCGAGCTTGGAGTGGTGGCTACTTTACAACACATTGACCGTGCATATGCTTATCAAATCAGTGCCATGGCAAAGGCATGTCGTAATCAATGCAGCTAAAGGTGGTCCAACAACATCTTAGAGTGTGAGTGTGTGTGTGTGTATGAATGAATATATATGTGTATATATATATATATATACACATACTGTATATTTATCTATATCTATCTACAAATATTTTCTACAGATCTAATGGTGTGTTGCAGACATCAAAAGCATGCAGCCTTTCGATCCCATGAAAGCCTTCATGCTTAGTTTCTGTAAATGTGACACAGACTGAGGCCTAGAATAGAAAAGTTATGCAGAAGCAGGATTTTATCGTCATACAGGTTTTTTTTTCATATTACCCTGCAAGCTTGTTTTATAATATACCTAATTTTTTGCAGAATTCTTTTTAATACTGTATGTGTTTGGTATTGTGCATTAAAAAATATCTGGTGATGAACTAGAACAGAAACCTGACCTTCTGGAGGGTGGTATGTTGACCATGCTCCCAAATATTATCAATGCTTCTCATATTGCTCACGATAAATCAATACACCTACTTGAACCAAATGTACATACTGAGGGGAATTTATCACAACTGGAGCAGACAAAATCTGGAGCAGCCGTGCATGGAAACCAATCAGCTTCTCTCTTTCATTTTCAAATCTTACCTGAACAAACTGATGGCAGAAGCTGATTGGTTCCCCCCCCCACTGTATATATGTCCTTCTGTACTTTTACTGAAGACCATGATAATAGAACTACTTGCATCATCGTACAGCAGAGAAAAAAAGGCACAGTAACTAAAAGATTAGATTCTAAATAAAAATGGTAAAACCTAGCTAGCTCGTCCTAAGAATTAGTGAGAGAATATTCTACCTTTTTTTTAATATAATATTTTAATTTATTAGAACTTGTGTATTCAACCAAGTGAATCCACAGATTCTAAGCTCTGTCCTCAGAAACCCTCCGTTTCAGCCTGCAGCCAAGCTGCTAGTGTGTTTTGCTAAACCAATATGTAATTATGTGCTTTGTGAGGAGCAAAGCAAAAATCTTGGAAGTGTTGGTTAGTAGTACTTGGATGTTTAATTTACCTGGATACTCGTTCTTTCTATTCTAGGCGAGTTGCCATTGTCCCTTGCGGCTTGCACCAACCAGCCTGATATAGTACACTACCTGACAGAGAATGCTGACAAGAAGGCAGACCTGCGTCGCCAGGACTCCAGGGGCAATAATGTCTTACATGCATTGGTTGCTATTGCTGACAACACTCGAGAGAATATAAAATTTGTCACCAAGATGTATGACCTTCTGGTCATTAAATGTGCCAAACTGTATCCTGATTGTAGCCTGGAGGCATTCCTGAACAATGATGGCATTTCTCCCCTAATGATGGCTGCAAAGCTTGGTAAAATTGGGGTGAGTATTCCACTGGGTAACCATGTATGATTTTGATACTTTGTGGGATTTTTTCATTTTGTTTAGAGTAGGGGACAGTTAGAATCCTTCCAGGGTTTTTTTTTCTTTTGTGCCAGCTGTGTGCCATTGGGGATATTTCTCTTGATTTCCTGTGCTAGTGGCAGCATTGTCATTGTGGTAGGTAAAGGCAGTCTCCAGTGGGGACTTGTACTGCAAGAAAAGCTAACCAAGTTTCTTCCCTTAAGTAGTCTATACACGCAGTGAATTTAGTATATTTCTTGATAAACGGGCTAAAGTTCAATGTGTGGGTGCTGCTGTTGGCACCCTCCCGCCTGGCATCCCTCGATCACCTGACCAACGGATCCGATTGGAAAATTCTCAGCCAAACGGAACGGACTCCATTCTGGCAATGCAAGAAAAACAGTGGGGGATTCCTCGATTAACACTCATAAGCGTTGATGGAGGAATCTGTTCTATTTCTTTTTTTCTACATTAATAGAACGGTGTATACCCAGCTTTACCATACTAATGCTGTTCTGATTGTGTCCCTGTCAGGGAGATCTTCTCTCACTTTCTGTCCTGATGACAAATTTGAAAGTGTGGGTGTTACCATGGTGAATGGGCAGTTTAGATAAGGGAGGCTAGGCAGGGTGTGTAAGTGTACGTTTTCTGAAAGCACACTTACTCTTTAAAGCATAACTAAACCCAAGAACATTTCTAACACGTACAGAAAATACCGGTTTATCATGCCAGAAAGCAGTGTCCTTGTCACTTCCTGTGAGATGAACTGGAATCAAAAAAGTCTCCTATTTTTTGTGTGTAAACCACTAATCCCATCACCCCACGTGTAATGGAGATGAACAAAGACATGTTTGAAGTCCATTCGGGGTGACAGCCATGGCTCCCTCTATAGATACTATGGAGGAGTGAGTATAGGCACCCTAGGAGAGGAGTTGTGTTATTCCCAAGATTGCCAGGTGAAAATAAAGGGAGTAAAAAAACTCTAAAAACTAATGCAGCCACCACATCAAGGGACTGGTAAGCTGCAGTTTATAAAATGTTAGTTTTTGGGTATGGATACGCTTTAAAGCTAATGTGGCGGTATTAACAGCCAGGCAACTGAAATGATCACAAGGTCAGCAGTGGCAGTTACATTGTTTCGTTACACATATTTAATGCATGTGTATATTCAGTAAAAAATAAACAAAAAAACAACCCAAACCGTTTTTCAGTTATATCTGATTCCAAAAACTTCTGAAAAATAATCGTTATATTGGTATTTTGCTGCCCCCTTGTGGTATTATTGAAGATTGCATACTAAATTCAAATTTTGTTAGTAGAACATGACATGTCAGCATTTTCTTACCTGTTTTACCTCCAAAATACTTTGCCAATAAATCTGAAGTTTTATTTTGTAATATGTCTGACTATATTAATTACCAACAGTTATAATTGGGTGGTGCACTTCATGTATGTTTGCATTTTTGATAAAGAATATACTTCTTTATTAAACAGCAGCCAAAACATTTGTTTTCAGTTTAGTTTAACGTGTTGCATTTATAACTTTATTGAATCTATCATTAGTAATTGAGACATTGGCTGACTTTATTTTTATGTCCCTTCTAGATATTTCAACACATAATCCGCCTAGAGATAAAGGATGAAGATGCCAGGCATTTGTCTCGTAAGTTTCGAGACTGGGCCTATGGCCCTGTTTACTCCTCTCTGTATGATTTGTCATCCCTAGACACGTGTGGTGAAGAAGTGTCTGTGCTGGAAATCTTGGTTTACAACAGCAAAGTTGAGGTAAGAAGAGCACATTTTTGTTTGTCTTCAGGATTTAGTCTATGAACTTGTCTATCCAGTGGTGGCAGTATATCTTAATGAAACACATTTAAAAAATGATTAAAAACCTTATATGTCCTTAAAGTATTTAAAGGAGAACTATGGGGTCAGGGTTTTTCCCCATAGTTCTTTTAAGGGTCACGGGAGAACACAACTAGCGTTCTCCCGTGACCCAAAGCTCAGTATACCGCGTGCTACAGCTCGCGGTATATTGAGACGCCGCAGCCAGGACGGATCCCGACAGTAGTGTCTGGATCCACCCAGCTGCGGGATTGACTCCTCCAGTGGCAGAGCCAGCTGTGCCCGCCCCCTCCCCCGTCCGTTTCGCCAGTCAGCGCTGGAAAATCAGACAGGTGAGGGGGGAATCCCTGCAGGGGGCCGTGAGTGACAGTCATGGCTCTCTCCAAGGATAGATCGAGAAGGTAGCTAGTGACAGTATGTGTTCGCTCACTTCCCGATCTACTGAGCCGACCTGTGACAATTTCATTGTCACAGGTCGGCTCAGACTATGAGTGAAAATCGCCTCATAATTCTCCTTTTAAGAACAAACATTTTTTAGCATAAGTTTCAGTTGCAGTTTTGTGTGCCTTTGCCGTATTTTAAAATTTACAAATATTTTGTTATTAGTACCTCGATACAGTTTTATCTTTTAAGATTTAGTAGGAGTCTTGTAAATATGTTTTTGTTTCTTTGTGTGCTAATAATGATTTTAGTGCATCAAAAATAAACATTTGTGCCACGGCTGTGGGACCTACAAAACTAGTACCACCATTTTTATTTTATTTTACTGGTCCTGTGCTTTCAAAAAATATGTGGTGGTGGTGGTAGCGGGGATTGCTTTACAAACTCTGAAAGCTGCAGTTGAAAATTAAAAAATCAAAGTGGTTAAAAGTGAAGAGCAGGGCCTGGCAGCAAAAGGGTTAAATTATGTGGGGGGAAAAAAAAATAAATTTGTAGACCATGTAGTCATAGGGATTCATTAAGCGCTGCACAAACTGTTGGCGCTATATAAATACTATGTAATAATAATAATAATAATAAAAATAATTTAGCTCCTCCTAGATGGAACTGACAAGTTTAGGAATTTCCCATACTCACCAGTGCCATCCTAGGGTGCTAGTGCCATGCGAACGGCATTCGGCTGGCTATACACTGGGTAGAGCTTTAATGAATGAACCCCATAGAGTTATTGGTTATACGGACACTGCTAGTTTTGGTTTGGGAATCCTTGTATCAATAACCTCTGTTTATAATAGAGTTACAAGGCACATGTAGCGTTTCCTAACATTCTTGACTATAAGGCCCCATTCACACACAAATCGGCCTGCACGTACAGCTCCGTGCGGGTTTTCTGGCCGGGACGCATACATGTTCCATTCCGGCGGCGTATGAATACGATCACCCGCACCCCTACGGACCTGCAAATGAGGTGAGCGTAGGGGGGCGTACTGCCGCGTAGCCCCATAGAGAAGGACGAGGGATGCGTTCTAATCACACGCAGCACCTGTCCTTCCCGGCAGCTACTTGGTACGGCCCCGCACGCAGCACGGAGCTGTACGTGCAGGCCGATTCGTGTGTGAATGAGGCCTAAAGAATATAATGATCTGAAAGTGGCTGGTGAGATATTTGACTTGCTGCACTGTCATAAACTTAAGACTTGGCATTGATAACCACAGTTCATGTTCATCCAGATCTCTCTCCAACCTCAGAAGCATGCTGAATTGTGGCCAGTATATTTAGAACACATGTATGGGATACACCTCATCACCAGCACTTCTTATGAGCTCTAATAGTGGTAATAAGGCTGATAAACGGGGACTGATTAAGTATGTGTTTACTGCAGCCAGTTAATGTTCTCTAACACAGCAGTTCATTGGGAAAATGGCAGAAGTGACAAATTGCCAGGCCTGGTCTGCTATACATTTATGTTAATGCTCTGAATATGGTGGGTTTATACACAAATGGTACCTATAGTAATAACATAGATATGTATTAATTGCTCCGTTTCTAAGTGCTTATGATTTCAGAGCAGAACGGTCAGATATTTTTGTCTTTCTCCCATGCAGAACCGCCATGAAATGCTAGCAGTTGAACCCATTAATGAACTGCTGAGAGACAAATGGAGGAAATTTGGGGCTGTCACATTCTATATCAGTGTTATCTCCTATCTCATTTCCATGATCATCTTCACCTTAATAGCATATTACAGGCCAATGGAAGGCAAAGTGAGTGTAAAAATTAAGCCATAACGTTAACACTTGTTAAAGCAAAGACCTGCAGAACCTGAGTGGAAAGTGATCTCCTGTAATGTATTTCGGCAAACATTTCCCAAATGCATTAGGTGGAAGAAGTATGGATTTCTGTGTGTTTTGTTTGTTCCCTGAAAAGAGTTTAGCATATAAAGGCAGATATTACTTTTGCATTTAAGCAAATGTAATAAGGCAAATGTATTTTTCCACATGAACAAACTATATATCAGTACCTGCTTTTCTCCTCCCAGTTCCAGGGCATTCCTTTTGTGAACTGTTGCCCAAAATGTAACTGCATACTCAGGATGAGGCCTTACTGTTTCTTTATAAAGAGGCAAAAATGTCTCTCCTCTCCTATCTTTCACTCTCTCTTTTCTCTTCTTACTTTCTCCTCCCTCTTGATCTCTGTCTCCTATATATCTCTTTCTGTATTCCTTTTAATGTAAAGTGCTGAGCAAAGTTGCCCTATATAAATCCTGTATATTAATAATGATCTCTTTCTCATTTAAAAGCTGCATTGCATGCTGTTATAATGGCTTATATTGCATTTAAAGATCCATCTCCATTATTGAGCCAATCAGTTTTAACCTCGTAGATTGTATATTACAAATACAGAACATAAGATTTATCTACAATGAACCCCATTTGTCAGAGTATGAAGCATTAATTGCCACCCTTTCCACTATGCATTCTTTAAGCCAAATTTCTGTCTGTTCATAGTGGTAAATTTCTTACCCTATAGATTCTAATTGACACATTAAACAAGAACTCTGGGCAGAAGAAACTGTAACCCTTGCAGTAGAGCTACCCACGCACTGCAAAGGTTAAGTGCTCATTTTCGTCTGTTGGATGTGATGACTTTAGGATTCTTAGACCACTGGAGCAGAGGGGGAGAGAGGCTAGAGGGAGTGGTCTAGCAGCCACGGTCCAGATGAAATCTGTATTTGCTGCAAGGGTTAATGTTTAATATCCCCAGAATTCTTCTTTGACTATCTATGAGGAACACATCAGTAAAGTCTAAATATACTCCATCCTTAGCCATATGTTAACTACTTCACCTGATGTGTGATTCTAGACAATAGACCTTCTATATGTACATCTCTGAGATATGGCAGATTCACTACAGTCATGGTAGAATGGTTACATATTCAAACGGCAAACTATTATCCTATTGATTTGTTTTGTTGAAGTAGTACCTGCTTTGAATGACCCAAGGAAAGTGTGCTTTTAACAAATCAGTACGTGACTCTTGTTTTCTTACGTGACTCTTGTTTTCTTTTGTTTAGCCACCCTACCCATACAATACCACAATTGATTATCTGCGGCTAGCAGGAGAGCTTCTTACACTTGTTACAGGAATATTTTTCTTTTTTTCCAATGTAAGTATATACATCTACTCCTTTGCAATAATAGAGAGGGAGAGAGAGAGTCCGCAATCCGGTTATATTAAAATTGTCTTATCGGTGCTTTCCATTCAAAGCTACTGTTTCCCTAGTCACTGCTGTGCAGGTGTGAACTTGTATAGTCTGTTCATTTGTAACTGCGGTGTGAGAAAAAATGAATGCCCCACTTGTGATTTGCACGAAAGAAGAGCAGCGTGCACAGGGGTGTGGAAATTTTTGAAAAAACTACTTGTCCAACGGCTAAAGCAGGGGTTAAATCTACTTGTCCTTCATGACAATCTACTTGTCTCAATACAAAAAAAAAAAAGTTTTAAAAGTTTAAAACTAGGCATGCACCAATACCAGTTTTTGGGTATCGAGTACGAGTACCAATATTTTGCTTTCAGTACTCACCGATACTCGTGAGACATGGAGCAGGCTTCCCAGTCAATCAGGAAGCCGGGCGGCCAATCATCATCGAGCCAACTTGCTAGCCAATCAGGAAACCTGGGGGAGAGTAATGACCTGATTGGCCGGGAAGATGGCTCGATGCTGATTGGCGGCCAATCAGCAAAGAGCTGGCTTCCCGGCCAATCACCTGACCACGCTGACCAATGAGTGCTTGCAATTTGCTAGCAAAATTCAAAATGCATAGGGCAGGAATGCGCTGGACATTACAAGGTAAGGACACCTGTACTGGCGGAGGGTAAGGACTGTTTGCAGAAAGTTAAGTATAGCTGGCAGGTGGGGGGGGGTAGAAGAGACCGGGCCAGATTTGATCGGGTAATTCCATTTTCCCGTATTACCTGGGAAAGTGAACTTACCCTTTAATGCACATTGTGTGTGTGAGAGATTTCTGCTGCCAGGTACCACAATATGGCACACAGTGAAATGGCAGCAGAAATTCGCTTCATACAAGTGATCTGATTAGATCACTTGTATGAAAACGAACGGCGGCTCCACAATATACATTTAACTCTGCTTGTCCGGAGCAGGGCTGAATGTATTAAAAAACTACTCACCCGGCGCCCGAAACTGCCTGTCCCGGGCGTCGGGCGATAGGAATTCCACACCCCTGGTGCAGTGATTAGTTTTTTTGTGGTCTGAGGGTGTGCCTGGTGCCGTTATTTATTGAAGACTTTGTGTGCAGTATGGAGAAAGTGTTTTTTCGTGAAGAAGTGTGTATGAATGGATAGAGAATTTCAAGAAAATCACACAAGTGTTAGCCATCAAGAAGGAGCCCGTCCACAGCTTATGACATCATTAAGTGTGATGAAGAATTGAAGACACCGATGCATTCGTGGCTTGCAGCTCATCCTAAAACTAAAAATATAATGTTTTAATGAGGGAATACAAAAGCTTGTTAACAGATGGACAAAGTGTATTGAAAAGCAAAAAGATTATGTCCAAAAATTATGTATTTGTTTCTAAAAGTTGATTTAAAATAAATACTACAGCCAGAGTGCAGGTAATTTTTGCCTCGCCCTCGTATATTTTTCCCCCAACTTGTTGGGAGGAGAGAGGGCCTCAAGCGTTTTTTCACCCAGTGCTGACAGTGGCACACGCATGTTACTTTTCGCACTTACTTGCAAGGAAGTACTCATTATCAACCCCTAGTAGTTGACCAACGTGATACTCCAAATAGAGGCTTTTACCTTTGTTATCCATTATCTTGCTATGCATTGTAGCGATAGGCAATGAACAATGGTGCTAAGAAAAATCTATGAAAAATTCTCCAGCCCACTCGGTCATTGTCTTCTTTTTCTTCCCTGCAATCCCAAGGCTGTTTAGCTTGCACCACCATAACTTCCTCTATTGCACTTTTTCACATTCATCTTCCTGTCTTTATGATTCGATAACTGTAGCCTGGTAAACGGAAAATTTGAGGTGTTGCCCATAACTACCACTCATTTTTGAGATAAGCCATGATTGGTTGCTTTGGGTAATGGTCCTTTTTTCCCTAGATGCTATAAATTGGTCTGTGGGTCTCTTACCTGCAGAATTATGAAGGCCAGGGTGGGTGGGAGGTAAGGCAGATTCTATAGAAGCTTTGATTAGGAGATTATGTGGGAGGGAGGGAGGAAGGGAAGGTGCTATTCCACGTGGACCTGTGTTTTTAATTCTTGCTTAATAAATGTCAGCGCTCCAGAAAGACTAACCTCGGTCTTATAAATTTGTTTTTTTAAGCTAAAAGACCTATTTACGAAGAAGTGTCCGGGTGTAAATTCCTTGTTAATAGATGGATCTTTCCAACTGCTTTAGTAAGTTTTCCTTTCCTATATTAAAAGCATGTTTTTGGCATGTGGTATGAACATGAATTGTTATTGTCAAAATCTGATGTGCTTCTATTTATAGGTCACCAAGTGCTGTCTGTTAACTATAAGACAGCCATTGCTTTCTACTTACAGGGCTGAGCCATTAACTGAAGCATTGTTATTATCTCGCTGAGTTTTACATGTCTTCCCATCTTCAGCTTCATCTATTCAGTACTCGTCATCGTCTCGGCTGCTCTGTACTTGGCTGGCATTGAAGCGTACCTGGCTGTAATGGTGTTTGCCTTGGTTTTGGGGTGGATGAATGCACTATACTTCACTAGAGGTTTGAAGCTCACTGGGACGTACAGCATTATGCTGCAAAAGGTATGTAAAAAAAACTTTGAGCAGCCAACTTTACACCCCAAAAATATGTTTTACAGGCATGTTATAGTGACTATATTTGAACAATCTTAATTAGACTTAGTGAACATTGTCAGGGCTCAGTTATTTTGTACTGAGGTGTGTCTGGCGTGGCTATTCTATGACAATTTTGTTCAGCAAACAGTTGCTGTCAGGTTATCCTGACAGATGAAAGCCTCCTTATTTGTTCAATCAGAGAAAATTATTTACTGATCTCAGCCCTTTGTTATATTTTGTTGTGCTCAGCCATGCAGGGTTTTACAGTAATTTGGGTTCATGACCTCATTGCGCAAGTATGCATCTGTTAATTTTACCCTGTACTAAAATTACAATAGTTTATTGATTCTAAGGTTTCCATTGTGCAGTGTACACATGATCCCTGTAGAAGAATTTCAGCATTATTAATGATAGGTTGTCTTTTTAGATTTAGTATGATACTGTGCATCTGAATTGGATTTGAAATAGTATGTTTGCACTTTCATTGTACAATGGTGTGGAATATGCCGACATCGTTTAAATTTAAAGAAAAAGTGCACTTTCTGAGAAACTGCACGTATTCTTCAGGCCCCTTCCACTGCGCAGGTGCGGACAGCAATGAGAGGAGTTTGATGCTGAATGTAAACAAATGCAGGAGTCCCTGGGTGCTGGATCTCAGTAAATATGCATCTATGGAGAGGAAGGGTGGGCTCTGTGATGTCGGCATAGGTGGGGGCAAAAAGTGCACTTTCACTACAGTAGCTTCTATTACACTAACACTCTGGCTGCTTAGTACCCCCTTTTTTAGAAAGGGGGGCTTGCTTCTCCAAGAGCCCCCTTATTGATCCTTCTAAAGCTAGGCATACATCAGTAGAATTGCGATAAAATGAATGTTCGTTCACTTTTTCTAATAGTATATGGGGATGAAAAAATGGAAGGAGCAGGATGAAAAGCTTTTCTTAGTGAACTAAATTTTAACATTGAATGTGATTTTTCTTTTGGGAAACGCCACTAATTCAAAAATTGAATGTTAACGTCAAATGAAATTTTAAAACAAAATTCATCAAATTTGTCAAGTCTCTGATGGCATTACTGAATGCTCTGATGAGATTTTTCTTTTTTTTGTTGGGATGAAAATCTACCAGTGATCAGTTTTAGCCTGCTGGCCATAGTTGGAAGGTCATACTGTGCGTTATGGTTTAAATTAGAGGTGTACCGAAATAGAAATTTTAAAACCGAACAGAAATAAAAAAAATTGTCAGGCCGAAACCGATACCGAAAATGTTTTTATTTTAATTTTTTCAAATATTTTATTTTAATTTATTTTTTATAAACTTTCAAAAAATTATATTTTATTTTTATTCATTTTTTATTAAATATTTGTATTTTTTACTTCACTTTTAGGGGCTTTGGGGAAATATTAGGGGTCTAAACAGACCCCTGATATTTCCCTTTTAAAATAGAAAAAGAGATTGAGAACACATAGTCCTCAATCTCTTTTTTTCTGTATCCCCTGTTATAAGTGAACAGGAATCCTCTATACTGAGTGTTTCTGTTCATTGATAACATGAGGACATGATATGTTTACTATAACTACAATTATGAATGAACAGGAGGTGATGTAGATCACTTCCCATTCATTCATAATTGAGGCTATAGTCAACATGCTACCGTATGTCCTCCCAATTATCTACAAACACTCAGCGATCACTGATCACTGAGCGGTGTGGGAGGAGAAACACCAGCCGCTCACAGCGCTCTCCTCACGCAGCTCTCGGCCGGCTGTCACTTTCTCTCCTCCCCGCTGCGACACCGAGCAGCGCCTAGTGGGGAGGAGAGAAACCTGGGATGTGCCGATGTATCGGCAGGAAAATGGCACTTTCGGCATTTAGCCAAAAGTGCAATTTTTGGCCGATATGTTTCGGAGGCTGATTATATCGGTGCATCCCTAGTTTAAATGAAAAGTCCTAGATGACTTTTCACATAAAATCTTAGAGATTGTGAATTCTGAAAACACAGGATGTTCCTCAAACCCATGGTAGCAGAGAACCTGAACCTCATTCCTATTTAACTGAAGTGTAATGCGTAGTATTCACTGCACCTTCATTGCCTACTGTTACAGCCGGTGACTGATTGTGAGCTGAATTTCTTTTCCTGGAATGCATTCTGTATATGTTCCCAAGGACACCCTGGAAACGGAGTGCGTTTGACATCACAATACTAGAGGGTGGGGGGTGTCTTCCTACAAAGGTGGGTGATGCTCATGTGACTGTTTGTTGCTTTGTTTTCTATCATTTTCAGTAAAAATTTGCTTTGTCTAAAGGACCTTACAGTCCCAGATTTTTCACAGCGGACTGTTTACTCTGTTATTTTTGACGTTATCAAATATATTCCCCCAGACCTAGTAAGTGTAGAATCTCTGTTTATCTGAATGTTTCCTAATGTGCCTAAGTTGGTCTCCTCCTTCTGTGTTCTAGATCCTATTTAAGGACTTGTTCAGATTCCTTTTGGTGTACCTGCTCTTCATGATTGGCTACGCTTCAGGTAACACAAAGAATATTCACTGGAATCATTCTTGGTAGCCTTGTCTTTACTCGCACAAGCTTAAACTGCACAAATGACTAGAAGTGTTTATCCAATTTTTCTCTGCATCTTTCAAATAAATGAATTTGACAATACAATAAAAATGTAATGTCTTAGATTTATTATGACAAAATGCTGCAAAAGTGATTGGAAGGCATCCACTTTCATGGCTCTCACTACAATTGCTGAAATCTGATTGCGGTTACATCATAGATCTTTGTACAGTAGAATTACGAAAATATGTTTAAAATGCATATTTTATTTGTGGAAAGACAACTGATTTGCCACCTATTTAGTACCAGCGTTGTCAGATCAGTTTGATTGGTCCTGGATCTGTGTTGTGACACAGAGTGGCATGCTGCCTGGACTGGTCGGCAGATAGCAAGGCATCTAGCTACTAGGCTGACTTTAGAACAGACCTGGCAGTACTGAAACTGAAGTAAGGGGCACTCTGTTGTGAGGGATGGCAGATATTTATATGCCAGCTTTGTTTAATGCTTTTCAGATGTTTTGACTGTGCAAGTGACTATGCAAAGCCTTCTTGATCGCCTTTTTGTAGTTTTTTTTTCCTCCCCAACATTAACATGGGAACAGTTGACATACCATATTTCTTTATGCCTCGGTTTAAAGAAAACCACAGTATTTCTGGTTACATATAAACTAAACATAGGCAACGTCGGCTTGTAAATGATGAGACACTTGTATTTTCTAATGACACAGCAGGGATATTTTCATTTTCAGTTGTGGCGTTTTTGATGTTTCAGTTGAAAAAGTAATTGTGCTTTTGGCAGAGTAAATAATAGGGTTGGAGTTACAAATTAAAAAGTAGCTGTATGTTACTGAACATTATACGATAGTTTGCTATGAAGACACACCATGCATTGCAGATATTTATGGTCATGGTTCTAATTCTTGACTTCTTTGTATAGCTCTGGTGTCCCTGCTGAATCCATGTCCTTCACAGGAGAGTTGCAGTGGTCAAGGCCCAAATTGTACAATACCCGCATATCCGTCATGCCGAGACAACAGCACCTTTAGCAAGTTTCTCCTGGATCTCTTCAAGTTAACCATAGGAATGGGAGATCTAGAAATGATCGAAAGTGCCAAGTACCCAGCTGTCTTCATTATACTCTTGGTGACCTACATCATTCTCACTTTTGTCCTTCTCCTTAACATGTTAATCGCTTTAATGGGGGAAACAGTTAGCCAGGTTTCAAAGGAAAGCAAACAGATCTGGAAGTTACAGGTAATAATACTGTCAAATACTCTCATTTGCCACTACCTTCCTCCCCGGATCTCCTTACAATCTTTTCCCCCCCCCCCCTCTTAATAAACACCTTACATATACATTCAGGCTGGTCTGGTGACCTTGCAGGTCCTTCTTTCTCTTTAGTGGTGGTGAGCAGTCCCTTTTCTTGGACTGAGGGACACTCGCATAATGATATGTCACCGTTGCTTTGTCCAGAAGTACTATGGATCCTGGCTGCTGATGCAAGGAGTGGGTACATGACAGCCAGGGTCCACAGGAACCTTCACCTTCCGTCCTGTATACATAAAAGGAAGTGAAAGCTAAGCTCTCCAGAGTGAGGAAAATCTCCCTTTTGGATTTTTCTCCTAATATTCAGTCCTGGGTACTTTGTTCTCTAGGAGAAATAGAGGTAATCTCCCTAGCTCTGACAAAGACAACAATAAAAACCTGACCCTCATAA